TCGTGTTCTCCATAGGGGCACTTGTTGGAAGATAGTTATAATAATTGTTATTTGATGCATTAGATTGAGTAATTGTTGTCAATGCTTCTTTGAAACCATCCAGTCTCTGTGTATTATTAGCTTGCTCAGGTTCTGGCAATAGACCGTTAAAATCTATCAACATTTCTTCTGGCACACCCTCAGCAAATTCAGTGACTTTGGGTAACTCAGTTTGTGGATCACTTCTCTGCTTTCTCAAGGTTGATTCAGCTACCCGTTTCAAACTTATCAGTATGAGGGCTGTTGCCGTTTGGAGTTAAAGCAATAGTTCCCTCATGGAGAGACTGAACCAGGAGTGGGTGCAGGTTCCCTGAGCAGAAGACACATATTGGAAATATTGAAAAACTGCTCAGGAAGTGCTTCATTCTTGAAGGAATTATGGATTGTTTGAAGGATAACAAAATTTGTATACATTGCCTTCTTGCTGGCAACCACTCTGCATGTAATAAATCAATCTGAGTATACTCACAGCAGAGCAGCTGGCTAAGAGACTGCCTAACAGCTTTTCTATCACTCCAACATCCTCTATTCCTTCTGCTGTAGATTAGCAAGGTAACCTGGTTCGTCTGTAAACTGAGGTCACTTCTAGAACTATCTGATTGAGTGTTTTTTCTTTGTGGATATTCTTTCCTCTCTCGTTTATAGAAGGGAGAGAGGGGCCTATTCTAGTTTCCATTTCTACATTAGTCATCCCATGTCTATCATCCTGGGTCCTTCTGCAATGTTTGTTTGACTGCTGATAAACTTTGCAAAAGACTCTTTCAATCACTCAACCTTATCTGTGACAATTGATAAAAGTTCATAGATTGAATTTACAGTTTGAACTGTGAGAAAACATTGTCTGGAAAGGAGATCTATTTCATTTTCCCTTAATAAGTTTGTTACTATCCCATCCTATGCAGGAAAAGCAGATGCTGAATTCCAGGGAGGGGAGCTATTTTCTGTGAGAGAAACAGAAAGTCCTATATGCTGTTTGCTTTCAAGTTAGGTTTTAAAATCCCATTCCAATGGGTCACCTACAGATGAGTTAGTTACTGGAGCAGACTGTCTATTTGCCACAAAATCTTCCATTTTCTGCTGCTTCAGTGGTTTGAAAGAACTCTGTGCTGTCGAGTGAACGCGTTGTCTCTTTCTCCTTTTCCCCATTCTTGATAATCCTGGCTTGTAGAGATGTTAAAATGTAGGTAAAACAATGCAGCCACTCCAGTATATATAAAATGTTTTTGACTAGTATAAAAAGTCAAACAAGGGTTAAAACAATTTAAAAATAGGTTAAAATGGGTCAAAATAGGTTAAAAATGGGTTAAAAGTAGGTTAAAATGCAGTGTTAAAAAGGGTTAAAAAGTTAAAATAAAAATAGAATAAAAGAAAAGAAAGCTTTTACTTTTGGAGGAGCTCTTTACAGCCTTTGCTGCCTGTCCACCATCTTGGCTCCTCCCCCCAGGAGAAAATCTGCCAGCTCTCCTCTCCTTTGTGGGTGAAGAAAAGGAGCTGACCCCCACCTGAAGAGGAAAAAGGGGGCAGACACTTCCAGCCCCAGAGTAGGAATCGGCGGATCTTAATCATGCCACAAATAGTTCAACATGATTTGAAGTTTCCCTGAATGCCAAGGCATATGTGTCATAAATGCCAAAAGAGTTCAAGGTATATGGCATGAAAGATGATAGATAGGCAACAAGATATTCTTTGGTATTAGTTTGTCCACACATATTTCCCTTGGCCTCTCCCAGGACTCACTGAGTCCTGGTGGCGCAGTGGTTAGAATGTGGTACTGCAGGCTACTTATGCAGACTGCCTGCTGACAGCAGTTTGGCAGTTCAAGTCTCACCGGGCTCAAGGTTGACTCAGCCTTCCATCCTTCCGAGGTCGGTAAAATGAGGACCCAGATTGTTGGGGGGGGCAATATGCTGACTCTGTAAACCACTTAGAGAGGACTGTAAAGCACTGTGAAGCAGTATACAAGTCTAAGTGCTGTTGCTATTCCCAGGTTATTTTTGAAATTTTCTTTAGATAAGAAACAGATAAGCTTCAAAATAAAGTTCTACCATCCTTTAGCTGCACATAGGACCCAAAGGCATTTTTATAAAATAAAAACGATGGATGACTAAAAACCATAGCTTTGTTTGAAAGAGTGCTCACATGCAAAGTGGAAAAGAAGGCCGAGATAAGCAGCAGCTAATGTGGCAGCATCTTGTTTTCTAATGTCTATGCCCATTTTGATAGCCAATCCTTGTGATGACCACTTGGCAACAGCATTCTTGCAACATTCCCATAACTTAAAAAAAAGGTGAAGCATAAAGAAACCCATAATTTTATTCATTTTATCCATTGCAATGACTTACATTTTAATAAACTAAGAATGGAAGAAAATGATGAAAAGCATTGATATGTTTGGCAATGTATGGTCTTATGAAGAACTGAATGCACTAGCTTCCCATCTCCATCAGGGCACACAGGCCAGGAATTAGCATTGACAAGGGAAGGTTTATCAGAAGAATGGGGACTGCAGAGTCCTCAAGTTACAATATAATTAACTTCCGGTTCTGGATCGCGGCGCCTCTAGTCACACGAAGAGACTTGTCTCCTCGTCGGCTAGCTTCCCTCTGCCAGTAGACCCTTATACGGGTCGAAAGTCACCCTGGAGGGTGCGACTACCGTCGAGGCGGCTGTGCTCGGCTGAAGAGGGGCGGCAGCTCCTCCAGCTGTCCGAGCGAACTCTGAGGGACGACGGAGAAGATCGGCCAGTAAAATGGCCGATCATCCAGCCACACCAATCGCAAGTCAAAATAAAAACTAAGCATGAAGAACCACCGTGGTGAATCCGGGTGAGACTTTTCCTTCTCTCGCTATTCTGATTTTTCCTGTAAAGAGTTCTTGACTATTTCCCTTTTCCAAGAAAGCGGCGGCTGCCTATACGGGAAGGAGAGCTAAAGAAAAAAAAATAAGTCTTTGGTTTTTTGGGGTTGTTTTTTCTACTATTGGACCTTTTTTGGTGGGATATTTAGGGGAAAAGAAGAAAAAAGGGGCATTGTTACTTTTTTTTTTCAATTTTATAATGCTGGAGATACCTCTCTTAACTCTTTAAAGAAAGAGATAATTTTTTTTTCTTTAACTTTATCAACTTGGAAAAAAAGACTTTACAGTCCACTGAGGACATCTGGTGATGAAAAAACGACATTGCAACTGTATTTCTCTCTGTTATTTGAAGATTAGAGTGGATTTTCATATGATAATAAAAGAGAAAAGATAATTTGACAGCTGGGTGGTGAAGCTGGCTAATAGACCTTGGGAGGCGGATATTTGTGGATCTTTTTCAAATACAGTCTCCAATAAAGGAATAGACTAGTCCACCACCAAAATGGAAGAAAGTTATCTACATCTTGACTGACTATGACTTAATACTGGAAAATTTTTTAGAATTTACGGAAGACTTCAAAACTTATTTGAAATCTTGGAGAAAACTTAAAGATGCTACCTTGGAATCTCAAATCAATCCTCCAACAATGAATCAAGCTATGGAACAAGGAACAATAGAGGAAGAACAGAGCAATCTTGAGCAGGCCTCTACGCATCAAGATATACAATTTAAAGAGACAGAAACACTATGCCTACAACCCAATTGCGAATCTACACTGGGAGAAAATTAATTCTACACAATGTTACCTACAGCTGATGGATAACTTTGATGACCAACAAATAACTGTAATTGACTCAGTTCAACTACCAAAAATAACAACGGTTGATATTCAGATACAACCCTTTGGAAATCACAATAAAGCGGATAACTTACTTATAATTATAACATGGAATAAAAGCCAATATAACACTCAGATGATATTGGTAGAAAGAGAAGAAAATTTTGTTCAGTTTGAATTGGTCAGAAATTTTTGTAACCAAAACTTGAGGTTTGGTAACCGAAAAGCTTTAATATGGGAACCAACTTGGCATAGAAAGAAAGCTAGAGTCAGGTTTAAACGTGACATAAAATGTTACTTGATAGGCTAAAAAGGCTTTAAAGATTTTGTCTGATTTAATAATGAATGATGTGAATTTATTGTTATCATAGTTGATAATTATTTGAGGGAATAAACCTTTCTAGGGGTTAAAAAGATTTTATAGATGTAGATTAATGAAATGATAGAATACACTTTCAAAAATAGAAATGAATCTTTTCTCTCTCTCTCTCTCTCTCCTTACATTATTATTTTAAAGATGATAATTATATTGTAATAGAGAGATTTTATCTGATTTAATAATGAATGAGGGAACTTCCTGATATTATAGTTGGGGATGAGGATGGGAACTTCCTGATATTATAGTTAATAAGTATTGGAAGGTATAAACTTCATTAAGGGCTTATAAAGATTTCTTATAGATGTAAATTGATGAAGTGACAGAATATATTTTTAAAAATAGAACTGTATATGTTGGATTTATATTATTTTAAATATGATAACTATGTTGTAATACAAAGAGAGGAAGAGCTACTTGTGATAGGGAAAAAATTAGTCTCAATGATTGATCTACTATTAAGGATACCTGAAATCCCAACTATATGTTTATTGAAATGTAATTGGACTATGACAACTGTAATTAGTAACACTTAAAAACAGGATATAGATTATCATAATTGTAATGTGATTGATGATTTTTGTTTGATTGAATTTTACCTAAAACTGTATTAATTTTAATAAGCAATATTATAGTTAGGAAACAGAGAGGAAATTTTTGATAATTAATTTGAGCTATACTTATATGATTTTGTCTTTGAATGATTTGTTACCCTGATCACCACGTTGTGTTCTAAGCTTTCGTAAAAATGGGAAAAAAACAATAAAACTTTTTTATAATAAGTTACAACCATAATGGAGCCTGCCTGTCATGAATGTAAGTTGTAATGGTTGTAAAACATTACCAACCTGATTTTGTGATCTTTTTTGGTGGTGGTCATTGTGGTACAGTTTTGCTGAAAACCTTAAAATGAAGTCACCTGACTGTGGGATACTGCAAACAGTGGCCCTAACCTTGTTGCCGAATGCTCAAACTGAGGTCACACCACCACAAGGGGGTGGTGGCCATTGGAACGTCACATCTGCATCATAAGTCCCCTTTTCAGGTATGTCATAACTTCAATGGTTGCTAAGCAACCGGTTGTAAGTCAAGGAGTACCTACATTGGCTTTCCAGATATTTCTAAACTGCAGTTCTCAACACTTTTCACCATTGTTCATAGTGGCTGAGCTGCAGTCAATCAGATTGCTTTTCCACAACCCTCAATCAATTTCACAAGTTCCATAAGATAATTGAAGAAGGCTTAGCTTCTACAGCTTTTTCAGGACATATTTGTCTCATTTGTGTTATTTGTTTTTATTTTAATTGATATGAGCCATCTTATCCTACATTTACAAATATTTCCAAGGATTGGATTTTTTGGTGTGTGGTTTTATCATATGCTTTCAGATTTCTAAATACACAAATTTTATTGCTAACCTTGAAACATTGCTGTAATTTTATATGAAGTTTTCTAAAACCTATGGTTGAATATAAATGTTTCAAATACAAAAATTACAATGTTCATCTATCCTAGTATCTGCTAAATATTTTGGACCAAAACTCCCATTATTATTAGTCCACTTGATCACCTATTGACAATGCTAAGAATAAAATAGAAGGTGTCCAGCTGAGGGAAGCTGGCTATTAATTCACTGTCATGTGCCTGCTTAATAGATATCAAACAACTACAGATTTTGGTTCTCTTCCAACCCTCCTGATTTTATTTTGATAGATTTTAGACTTCAAAAAATGTGAACAATGATTTGCCTTTTGCCTTCTTCCCAGATGGTTTTGAAAAGTCCGTACTGCAATCTAGCAACACCACTTTTGATATAGTCCACTTTATATATTTTCAAATGTCCATCATACTGCATTCACAGCTATAGTCTAGTTGACCAGCATGGCTTAAAAAACAGCTCTGTATTCTCCTCCCCTGCTTTTTTCCCTGGATCATAATTTTTTATGTTATCAGATTGCTTGAGTTTCAAAGGAAGAGAGGTTCACATATGCTGCATCAATTTAATTATTCTGTTTTATTCCATGATGAGAAGTTACTAATTTTTTTTAAAAAAATGATCATTTAAACATGAAGCTAAAACATAAATTGTTAATATTGTGATTTAAACAGTATAGACAAAAGGCAGATTATGAAATTGCTCAAACAAGATTAATTTGGTTACGACTTACGGTGATCGGCATTCAAAAATAACTTGAAAGAGCTGCTAATAGGCTAAGCAACAAATAGTAAAGTTGGCCTTCACAAGGGCTCCAGCAGACCAAATTATGATGGATTGTCTGGGAATAACCCTGTAGTAGAAAACCAAGTGAGTAAAAAATGTGCAAAAGTGTAAGAAATGTTCTCAGAGCAAGTTTTCCTTGTGGAAAACTTAACAGAATGCAGTCAGGAGGACCATCTGCTTACAGACTAATGGAATAATCTGCCTGGAATCCTCTCCAGTTTGAAGCCATCCTGAACAACGGGATATATACCCTATTTTTGCACAGCTATGGCAGTTCCCAACCATAGCTTAGTGAACAGACATTTGGAGGTACAAGCTTCCTGCCCCCAGTTATCAGGACCTCAAAGATCCAAGGTAACCTACTAAGTTGGACAGATCAATGATCCTATTTGATTTAGGAAAACTTTGCATGCTTTTGCCCTGATAATACTTTAGAGTCAAAACCTAGATGAGCATCACTTCTACAACAGATAGAACAGGTGGATGGTGGGAATACACATACGCACATACTGTATAACTAAGTAACAAGGAAACTGCCCTGACCTGATGAAAGATAATTTAGGATATATTCTGGAAACAAGCATCGTATAATAAAAAGAGGAGCATATAAAAACCCGCCCAAGAATGAAAGAAAAACAATACATTTTCAAACCCAATCCATCAGTGTCAAACTTTCCTCTTGAAATCTCTCCATCCTAAGCTCTCTGTTCTGGTTGAGGATAAGACCACAAAAATAGTAGATCTGTTAGCCTCGTTGGTATGTAGCTTGCAGGGAGGTAAAAGAGTTTTGCATCCCAACCAGCTGAGTAGCGGAAGCGAGGATGCACAGCAGTCAATGCATGTTCCATGCAGTTGGTAACCAGATAAAGTTTAGCACTGCACTTGTCTTGCATCTTAGTCGTTCCTTGGATCACTACAGAAAGAGAAAGGGAAAGAAACGAAATAAGAATACACTTTCACAACATATAAATTAGAACCATTTAACAATCTGGTATACAAATGGCCCAGACCATACAGTACCTATTCTTTGCAATGGTAACTTTTGCTCATTACACATTTAGGTGCCTGGAATTAACATCCAGAGAATTGTAGGTTTCATTTATAAAATCGTCAATGTGGTAAGAATGCATCCAGCCAGAAATAATGCTCAGGGTAACAGCATAATTAGAATATGTAGAAGACTTTCTGTAGCTATGTGGCTCACTGCACCAAATGCATTGGCCCCAAGAAGGCTAATCTCTTTCATCCAATTAAGAGGGGAGGTTCTAAGTAACTCCCACCCAGGCATACATCATGCACACTGAAGCATAGCAATTGGTGTCTTCCTAATCCCCCCAGGAGTTCTCAAAGAAAGCTAGGACAGTTCAGAAAACTAGGATAGTTCATATAGGTTAGTTATTAGAAATCAAAATTCAAGCACGCTAAAACTGGGTCTAATTTTTGACACACGAGACAGAAGCAAGGCAGAGGGCAAAGAGATACAGACATTTATACCATCAAAACAATTTTCATGGAACTAATTTGATTCAGCTTCATATTCTTCTTATATGAATCATATGATTACTATGTCCTTCTTTCTTACAATTATTTGTTAATATTATGGACACTGAGGACAACATTTATTTTTGAATCCAGCTGAACAAAGTAAATATTTGTACCCATGGTTCTGAGTAGTACAGTACGTGCAAGGACAGGCATGACATTTTTCAGGTAGTTTCCAACAGGGTTTTTGAAGCCCACATATACAGATAGTCCTCGACTTACATCCATCTGTTTAGTGACTGTTCAAAGTTACGGCACTGAAAAAAGTGACTTATGACCACTTTTTACACTTATGATTGCTGCAACATTCACATAATTACATGATCAAAATTTAAGTATTTGGCAACTGGCATATATTTATGACAGTTGCACTGTCCCAGAGTGATGTGATCACCATTTATTATCTTCCCAGCCAACCTCTGACAAGCAACGACAATGGGGGAAGCCAGATTCATTTAACGACCCCTTGTCTCACTTAACAACTGCAGTGATTTGCTTAACAACTGTGGCAAGAGGTCGTAAAATGGGACAAAACTCACTTAAAAACTGCTCCACTCAGCAGCTGAAATTTGGGGCTCAACTGTGGCTGTATGTCGAGGACAACCTGTACATAAACCCACATGCATTGTATAGAACAGGTAAGGCTAAGGGGAGCCTTTGGTTCTTCTACAACTATGCAGTATTGTGGGCTAATTCTGTGACTGCCGGCTGCCTGCAGTTTGGCAATTCAAATCTCACTGGCTCAAGGTTGACTCAGCCTTCCGTCCTTCCAAGGTCAATAAAATGAGGACTCAGCAATATGCTGATTCTGTAAACTGCTTAGAGAGGACTATAAAGTACTATGAAGCAGCATATAAGTCTAAGTGCTATTGCTACTCAGCTCCCTCATCTCATGTGTGAATAGAGGAATGAATGTTGAGACAGAATTTCTACCTATTCTGATTATTTGATACAGGATATGATATCATCTAATAGAACTATATTTTATTTCCTAGATGAGAAAATAAGTTTCTCAAATTTCTTTGATAGGCTTACTTGAATTAAAGTCCCATTTAAGGGAAAAGCAAACCAAGCATTCAAGTTAACAAGCACAGAGTCTGACTGCCCATCTGTTAAGAAACACTGTCAGCTCCCTGCAGTTGAACTAGAAGTCCTGAATCCTGTATTGTGTGACATCAGGTTTTGAGAAAATAGGAGAATCACACTCACTTGCGTTAAAATAACTCTCTCCATACACTTCTTTGGTTTCTTTTGGAAGGCGCTCCCAGATGCTCCTGAAATTCTCGTGCAAGATTTTATCATTGGTGACTGCAGTTTTGAAGTAACCTGGCTCTATTATGCAGACTTTCACTCCAAAGGGGAAGAGTTCAATCCTGCAAAAATATATATATATATATTATCTACCTCAGATCCTGAAAGATAATTATGGCTGTGACATCTTAAAAAATGTGGGAGCAAGGACAAAAGGAAAGAACTGAGAATAAATGAACATGGAAGGAGAAAAATACAAAATGAGAAAGTACACATTCTGTATTCTATATGAAAAAATATTATAAGTTTTATAATTCTAGGATTAATCTCCCAAAAGAAAGCATGGGAAATAATGTTAAGACTCTTACTTCTATACACTACAAAGAATATATATTATTCTTTTTACCTGAAGAACTTTTTACAGTTCATTTAGTGACTGTTCAAAGTTACAATGGCACTAAAAAAAGTGACTTATGACCGTTTTTCACAGTTAAGACCTTTGAAGCATTCCCATGATCATGTAATCAAAATTCAGACAGTTGGCAAAGGACTCTTTATTTATCACGGTTGCTGTCAAACAAAGTCAACGGTGAAGCCAGATTCACTTAACAACCAGGTTACTAACTTATCAACTGCAGTGATTCACTTAACAACTATGGCAAGAAAGGTTGTAAAATGGGTGAAAACTCACTTAACAAATGTCTTACTTACCAACAGAAATTTTGGGCTCGATTGCAGTCGTACATCGAGAACTACCTGTATGTGGTGTTACATGAATGGGAAGTCTAAATAAGGATGCTTGGTGAAATGATGAAACAAAAGAAACTGTGAATGTGGGATGGAGAGAAAAAAAAAATGTGACAATGTGTTTTGGAAAAAAAGGGAAGGGGGATTGCAAAGAATATAATATAGGAGTTAGGAATGGTCCAGGATAAAAGAGATCGAGAAACTGCAGAACGATTATGATAAGATATAAAAAAAATGTTGTGGAAGTAGGCGAAGAAAGGGTAGGATGCAACAAATACAAATCTGAAAACTGAATGACAAAAGTTAGGTTTGATGGGGGAAATGAAGGTTATATCTACACAGAAAGAAAGTAGAATTTGTCAATTCATTTATGTGCCTTGATAGCATATTTACTGTTCTTCTGTCAAATTGGATAGAATACATAAAAATGTAAAAATGGAGAGGGAATGAGGTATTTAAGCATTGTCTTTTTGTGTGTGTGCATGGGTGTGTGTATTTACTATGTATAGTAAAGCAAGAAGAGATGGCCCAATTTTTTTTAAAAAATACTATTTTTTATAAATATTTTATTAGATTTTATACCGGTAGGGAAAGGATAGGGTAAATACGGGTATGGGAAGGGGTAGGAATAAGGAATTGAGGATAGGGTAGGGTTAGGGTTAGGGGAAAGTACAATAGTGGAGTAACTCCCAACAGTAATCTCATGCTTTAACAAGCAAACTACCATCCAGATATACATATCGAGTAAACATAGTTTAGATAATACTAAACAATTATAATGAGTGAAGTTAACTATAATCATCTAATTAAGAATTAATAAGTAAATACAATTCCTTTAAGTAGATAACCTTAATTAATAAAATATGAACTAATTCTAACTGTCTCCACTAGTATTTAAAATCACTAATAGTAACGCTATTATTAACATAGAAGATAGAGCTTAGTGAAAAACCTAAAACATATTCTATTTAATTTCAAGCTCTTTTCTCATTCTGTCATATTTCTAACCATTGATAAAAAAATTTCCCAAGTTTTAAAATAAATTGAATCTTCTTTCTCTTTCATCTCCAAGGTTAATCTATCCATTTCTGCACATTCTAAAATTTTGGTAATTATAATCTGATCCGATGGTAGATTTTCATTTTTCCAGAATTGGGCAAATACTATTCTTGCAGCTGTTAAAACATGTAATATTAAATAATCATTCTCTTTACCATAATCAGATCTTATTATTCCTAGCAAAAACAATTCCAGTTTAAATTCTATCTGTATTTTCATCATCTTTTCCAGCCATCTATGAATCTTAAACCAATATTTCTTTGCGTTAGGGCATGTCCACCAGGCATGGTAGTAGGTACCTGGCTTTTGTTTGCATTTCCAACAAGTATTCGACACATTTTTAAACCTTTTCGCTAATCGAACTGGTGTCATATGCCATCTATAAAACATTTTATATAAGTTTTCTTTGTATGGAGTTTAATGTTTTTATCCCAAAGTTTTTGCCAGTGTTCTAAGTCTATAGAATATCCAAAATTCTTTGACCATACTATCATTGTTTCTTTTATTTGTTCTACTTCCATCTTCCATCTTAGCAGAAATTTATAGAGTTTCTTAATCAAGTTTTCATCTGTTTTTAAAAGTATTTTATCAAGTGGAGTCTGCTCTTTATAAAATCCTATTGATTTTACATCTTTTTCATATCTTGTTTGGATTTGCAAATAGGACCACCATGTTAAGTCAATACCTTGGTGTTGAAGGGCTTGCCTGTCTTTTCCATCCTTATCCAAAAGATCTTTATAACTAACAACAAATATTATTTTTATCTTATTTATAGGCTGCCTGACTTACACCTCTAAATAGCTTACAATTAAAATGTTTTTAAAAAATTACAAAATAAAAAAAATCACGAGCACTCCAAAAATAACATAAAAGCCAAAACCTCAATGAATAAGGGGCTCAACTTTCAGTTTGCTCCACAGCCTGGGAGA